AAAAGTTTATTTACTTATTTTGAAAGAAAGAGAGTGAGCAAAGGAGGGGCAGAGAAGCAGAGAGAAAGAGAATCCCAACCAGGCTGCACACTGTAGAGCCCGATGTGTGGCTTGAATCCACAAACAGTGAGATCATAACCTGAGCCAAAACCAAGAGTCAGTTGCTTAACCAACTGAACCACCCAAGAGCTCAAAAGTGTTTATATTTTAAAAATAAATAAAATCTTTAAAAACTAAATTAAAATTTTAAAAAATAAGTAAAAGTAAAAATTTGAAGTATAATGTATAGGTATGTCAAGATGCACAAATCTCAAGCATACAGCTCAATGAATTATTTCAGACTTAACACCTATAACTACTGCTTATATCATTTTCCACCACCCTAAAAGGCTCCCTAGTTCCCTTTCCAGTCAATACCCCACCCAAAGGTTACCGCTATTCTGACTTTTATCGTTATAGCTATATGATTGGTTTTTGTTTAACAGCTCTATTAAGATATGACTCATATGCCATACATTCACCCATTTAAAGTGTGTAATTTGGTACTTTTTAGTACAGTCACAGAGTTGTGTAACCAGTACCAGAATCTCTAACTTTAGAACATTTTTGTCATCCCAAAAAGAAACCCCATACTCATTATCAGTGATTCCTCATCCTGCCCTTCCCCAAGACTTATGATTGTTTTCTTTTATTTTTATTTTTTAAGTTTATTTATTTCTTTTTAGTAATCTCTATACCCAATGTGAGACTCAAACACACAACCTGAAGATCAAGAGTTGCACACTCATGCCAACTGAGCCAGCCAGGTACTCTCCCATGATTGCTTTTTTATAAACTGTATCTCTTTTGAGGGGCGTCTGGCTGGCTCAGTTGGTAGAGTACGTGACTCTTGGTCTCAGGGTCATGAGTTCAAGTCCCAGGTTGGGTGTGGAGCTTACTTTAAGGAAAAAAAAAAAAAAAAAGAGGGCACATGGGTGGCTCAGTCAGTTAAGTGTCTGACTTTTTTTTTTAAGTTTATTCATTTACTTTGAGAGAGAGAGAGAGAGAGAGAGAGAAAGCATGAGTGGGGGAGAGGCAGAGAGAGAGAGAATCCCAAGCAGACTTTGTACTGTCAGCATGGGAACCTGATGGAGAGCTGAAACCCACAAACTGTGAGATCATGACCAGAGCTAAAATCAAGAGTCAGATGCTTAACTGACTTCACCCAGGTGCCCCAGCATATAACTCTTGATCTCAGCTCAGGCCTTGATCTCAGGGTCATGAGGCCCCACATTGGTCTATGTGCTGGGCATGAAACTTATCTGGAAAAAAAAAAAAAAAAAAGGAAAAAGAAACAAAAACTTTATTGAGGCACACTGTTTATGTGCAATGAGACATGTCAATTTAAAGGTCTCAATTTGATGAATTTTGACAGTTGTAGATACCTGTGAAATCACCAGCATTATCAAGATACATAACATTTCCATCACCCTTGGAAGATTCCTCCTGTTCTTTTGTAATCCATCCTTCCATCTGTACCTGGATCCAGGGACCCACTGATTTACTTTCTGTCACTATGCATTGGTTTGCATTTTCTAGAATTGTACGTAAATGGACTCATACAGCGGTTTTATCAGCTGTTTTATCTGGCTTCTTTCATCCAACATAATGATTTAAAAAAATTTTTTTAATGTTTAATTTATTTCTGAGAGAGAGAGAGAAAGCGTGAGCAGGGGAGGGTCAGAGAGAGAAGGAGATATAGTATCTGAAACAGGCTCCAGGCTCTGAGCTAGCTGTCAGCACAGAGCCCGATGCAGGGCTTGAACCCACCAACCAAGAGATGATGACCTGAGCCGAAGTCGGATGCTTAACTGACTGAGCCACCCAGGCACCTCCATCCAACATAATGATTTTGGGATTCATCTATGTTGTTGTATCTACCAGTAATTTTCCTTCCTTTCTGTTGCCAGGTAGTATTCCATTATTTGGATACACCACCTTCCACTGTTTTTGACAATAAAATTTTCTTGCTAAAGACCTGGGCAGGCCTGACCTCAAACCTATAGCTTTCCCAAGTTCTGTTTGATTTCAGATGTAGAGGAAATGAATTAGTTCCACAGGTTCAATACTTCATTTTTGCTTAAGAAATGGTAGGGTGTGTATATATGTTGAAGGTGGGGAAGAGAGAGGCCCTCTGGAAACATCAAAGCCACAGAGCATCAGTCTGTGGTTGATTGGTTACGTAAGGTACAATTTCATTGATTTGGCTACCTAAGGCCTAGTGGCTCAGGAACACTAACATTTAGGAGTTAGAGTCAGGACCAGGTGCCTTATAATTTTTCTTTTTAAAGATTTCTTTTTTTTTCTTTTTTTAATATTTTTATTTATTTCTAGGAGAGAGAGAGAGAGACAGCGTGAGCAGGGGAGGGTCAGAGAAAGAGGGAGACACAGAATCTGAAACAGGATCCAGGCTCTGAGCTGGAAGTCAGCACAGAGCCCAACACGGGGCTAGAACCCACGAACCGCGAGATCATGACCTAAGCGAAAGTCGGCACTCAACCGACTAACCAACTAAGCCACCCAGGCGCCCCTCTTTTTTTTTTTTTTAATGTTTTATTTATTTCTAGGAGAGAGAGAGAGAGACAGCGTGAGCAGGGGAGGGTCAGAGAAAGAGGGAGACACAGACTCTGAAACAGGCTCCAGGCTCTGAGCTGGCAGTCAGCACAGAGCCCAACGCGGGGCTCGAACCCACGAACCGCAAGATCATGACCTAAGCGAAAGTCGGGCGCTTAACCGGCTAACCCCTCTTTTTAAAGATTTCTTTAGGGGCATCTGGGTGGCTCAGTTGGTTAAGCATCCACTTCAGCTCAGGTCATGGTCTCATGGTTCATGCTCCGTGTGGGGCTCTGTGCTCACAGCTCAGCACCTGGAGCCTGCTTCAGATCCTGCGCCTCCCTCTCTCTCTGTCCCTTCCCTGCTCGTGCTCTGTCTCTCTCTGTCTCTCAAAAATGAATAAACATTTAAAAAAACATTTTTTTTTAAGATTTCTTTAAAATTTCTTAAAGTAATATCTACACCCAACACGGGGCTTTAAACTCACAACCCTGAGACCAAGAGTCTCAGGCTCCACCGACTTAGCCTGCCAGGCGCCCCAAGACCAGGGGCCTTATAAACTGAATTTTATTTTACCTTTGTAACAGTTCCATTTTCCAGCCCAAGGAACTAAGTCTCTGAAAGGTTAAGAGACTCCCCAAAAATTTTGCCTGTGTAAGAAGCTTAGTCTTAGGTGACAGAATTCTGACTTTCTTGGGGCACCTGGCTGGCTCAGTTGGTGGGGCATATGACTCTTGATCTCAGGCTTGCTGAGTTTGAGCCCCACGTTGGGTGTAGCCCCACTTTTAAAAAAAAATTAAAATTAAAACAACAACAACAACAACAGAATTCTGACATTTTCTCACAACCTTCTGAAGGAATTATAGACTTGATAGGCCTAAGGAAATTGCTTATGGCCCTGGCTTTTTCTTGTCCAAACCAAGTGATTGTTTTTCTTTAACTAGTGACTAAGAGGATAAAGATGGGTGGCAGGGAGAAACGCATGCTGCCTACCATCTGCACTGGCCATGCCCCTTCTGCTAATGTATGATAAACACAAGGCCAGGCCAGATGACAGTCAGTGATGGGAAGCGATTTAAAGATATATGATCCTTGTTGGATAAACAGGAGCCCGAAATGTCCGTGGTGCTTTAGAAAGCCTGTCTGTGCACTGGAGACGTTTTTGGCATGACTGCGGCTTTTCTAGTAAGCAAGGCTTTTTCTCCGTAGAAGGCTGAAAAGTCCAAGAGCCCCCAGTAAGAAAGATGAACAAGCTGAGTTATATTATTAAGATTTATTATTATTCATGATCATGGGAGGAATGTGAGCATACTCACCGTGAGGAGTTTGTGTGCTCTAACAAGATTAGGAAGCAAATGAAAATCACTCTTAATTCTTAACATTGAAAAATAAATGCACTCATCATTTTACTGTATAGCCTTTTTAATTTTTTTCTATTCATGAGTATGTTTTCATAATTGAGGTCATGCTGTTAATACATGTCTGCCTCCTGCCTTTTTCGCTACTATATTCACAGCATTTCTCCATGTCACTAAAAATTATTCATAAATGTCACTTTAGTGGCGGTCATAGGATATTCTACTTTTGGTAGAATCCAACACCTATAATCATTAAGGCTGCTGCTTTTTAAATTTTTTTCTATTATAAATAATGCCTCATTGAACATCACTATGCATCAGTGATACTTATTTTCTAATCCTAAGAACAGATTTTTCAAAATGGAATTACTGGATCAAGTAGGGGCAACACTTACAGTTTTACAACATCCTGTATCCATCAGTAGTACTTGAAGGTGCTCATCTCCCAACACCCTAATAACGGCTATGAAAATTATTGTAGAACGTTTCCAAATTTATGGATGAAAATGTGATACGTTGCTAATGGCCAGTTTTGCTCCCTGCCGGGTAGGTAAATTCATGAGACTCAGAAGTGCCCAAGAAGAGGAAGTGGAGGCCACCCCAAGGCAGTAGATTTCCTGCCTCATGGGCCCTAAGACAGAGGCTGGCTTCTCTCAGCTTCCAGACTGTGCTTCACCCCATTGACTTTACAGAATCCATGTCTTTTTCCTTATACTCACTTCCGCTGTCCAGGCAGAAGTTCTCATCACGTCTTTATTTTTTTTGTCTCCCCTTATCACAAAATATGTCATGCCTGCAGACTTGTACATGGCTTATTACAAAGGTCTCCTAATTAGGTTTCCTGCCTCTAAGTTTCTCCCTTCACTAACTGTCTTCTGCAACTTTAAGATCTGACCACATCTCACCTCTGATGTAGTCTCCCTGCCCATTCTCCAGCCTCCTTTAACCGTTAACTGGATGCTCATTGCCTGACAGGAACTATTTGAGCCTGTGCATGCACACTCCAACCTCACTTATGCGTATCTTCTGCCTCCCTGCCTTTCTCTACAGCCACACAGAAATACTCACAGGAGCTACGTTGATTGAATGTTTCCTGTGTGCCAGGTACTATGTGCAAAGTTCAAGCCACAGCTCACAGTCCTGCTGGGTTGAGTGCTATCATATTATCCCATTTACCCGATGAGAAGACTGAGGCCCACAAGGATCAAGTGATTTGCACTAGTGTACACAGCTGGTAAGTGACTGCTCCCAGAACCTATGTTTTCACCCTAGGTCCCCACACTTGGTCTTCTCCAGATAGCACTGTCTTCCAGGCCGTTGCCATTTTAGTCCCTGGAATTTCTTTAGGCCTAGAGGTAAATAAATCTTAAAGTCCTGACTAACTGTTGTCATGTTCTTCTGCTTCTATTTATTTCTCCAGGTACCCTGGTCCTTCCAGACAAAACAGAGTCCCTTGTATAGAGCATAGATCCCATAAACCCCACTGCAGCACATGTTTATTTTTTAATTTAATTTTTTTAAGTAGGCTCCATGCCCAATGTGGGGCTTGAACTCATGACCCTGAGATCAAGAGTCTCTACTGACTGAGCCAGCCAAGAGCCCCTGGAGCACGGTTTGTCAACAGGAGAATAAGGATAAATAAACTGTGCTATATTCCCACAATGGAATACTACGTAGCAATGACAGTGAATCAGCTATTGCTGTACAGACCACAGAAATTAATCTCACATAATGTTGAGTTCAAGAAGCCAGACACAAAATCCACTGTGTGATTCCATTGCATATACAATTTCTTTTTTTTTTTTAATATTTTTATTTATTTCTAGGAGAGAGAGAGAGAGAGAGACAGCGTGAGCAGGGGAGGGTCAGAGAGAGAGGGAGTCACAGACTGAAACAGGCTCCAGGCTCTGAGCTGGCAGTCAGCACAGAGCCCGACGCGGGGCTCGAACCCACAAACCGCGAGATCATGACCTAAGCGAAAGTCGGATGCTTAACCGACTAAGCCACCCAAGCGCCCCATCCATTGCATATACAATTTCTAAAATAAGTAAAACTAATCTGTGCTGTTAGCAGTCAGGATAGTGGCGACCCTTAGGATGACGGGAAGGATAGTGACGAGGCTGGCCCTCCAGGAAGGTGGGCTGGTGATAATTCTGATTCTTGATCTGGGTGCTCACCTTCATATAGGTGTGTTCAGCTTGAGAAAATTCACACTTAGGATTTGTGCTCTATATACTGTCCCTCACTAAGAAATCAAAAACAAAAGAAAACAAATACTTCGAAGACTCCTCAGTGTCTTGGAAATAAATTCCAGCTGCCCACCAGGACCTACAAGCCCTATATTGCCTGGCCCTTATTTATATCTCAGACCCACCCCCACCCCTCTCAACTCTTCTTTACCTGTCCCCTTCAGCCTTTCAGACCCTCAGCCACACTACGCTTTCAGCTCAGTGGGGAGACTGGGCTGCCACTTGGAGACCAGGGAAAGGATGTTATAGCCTGAAGCAAGAGAACAGGTATGAAAGTGTTCAAGTACTCCCTAGAGAGCTCTGATTTGCTTTTTCTTTTTTTCCCTTTAAACAATTGGCCACAAGCCACACTAAAAGAGAAGAAAAACCCATAGATTTAGAGCTCCCTCTAAGAACATGGAAAAGACTCATCTCACTCATAGACCACTCAGAGCAGATGCCATGCTTATGCAACTGAATGAGCCGGGGCATTCAGACAGCTCCCTGACTGTCAATTCTGATTGTATGTGGGGGAGTGGTACAAGAGACACACTTTAAGTCTGTTACTAATTTGGGGCCAGCCATTACCTCTGAGCCTCATTTCCTCATCTGCAAAGTCAGATAATAACAGTGCCTGCCTTAGGGGCCATGGGTATTAGATGAGATAACCATATTAGGTGTGTGGCATGGTTCTTAGCACAGGCTTGTGCTTCCTTCCTTCCTTGACTGAACACCTACTATGTGCAGCGTACTGGGGATATAACAGTGAATGAGATAGCAAAAATCCCTGCCCCATGGAGTCACTATTCTCAGGAGAGGACACAGACAATGGACTGGCAGTAAGCAAGTCAATAAATACTATGATAGGTGCTCTGAGGAAAAATAAGACAAAGGCATGAGGGCCCACTGAGTGCTGTTTGTTTTATATAAGGTGACAAAGGCTTCTCGGAAGTGGGTATTTCTGTTCCTAAAACTGTAAGAGGGTAAGAAGGAAAGAGAGAGAAAAAGAAAAAGGAAGGCAAGAAAGCTCCTAGAAGTTGTGTGAGTTAACAGTGGGCTCCTGGTTGGGGCGCCTGGGTGGCTTAGTTGGTTGAGCGTCCAACTTCTGCTCGGGTTATGATCTCATGGTTTATGGTTTCAAGCCCCACATCGGGCTTTGTGCTGACAGCTAGCTCAGAGACTGGAGCCTGCTTCAGTTCTGTGTCTCCCTCTCTCTCTGACCCTCCCCTGCTCACGCTGTCTCTCTCTCTCGCTCAGAAATAAAAAAAAAAAAAAAGAGTGGGCTCCTGGTGGAGGGTAGCAGGAGCAAAGGCCCTGAGGCAGGAGTGTGTATGGCACAGAAAGGACACCCAAGTATGTGTCTGGGCAAGGGGTTCAGGGCCAGATAAATGGGGCTCGGTAGGCAGCAGTAAGGAAATTTGTTGCAGGTGAATTTCAGAGCCACTAAACAGTTTGGAGCAGAGTAGTGACAGGATTTCCATGCCCCTGGGGTGAAGACTATCCTGGAGGAGGCAAAGGGGGGACGCTGGGAGGGCATAATAGTGGCTCAGACCAAGGCGACAGCAGGCCAATGGTGAGGAGGGGTTGGAGTGTATGTATTTATATATATATACATATAAATTATATATATATATATATATAATGTATATATACTTAAGATTTGAAAAAATTTTAGGTAATCTCTATATCCAACGTGGTACTCAAACTTACAACCCCAAGATCGAGAGATCAAGAGTCACAAGCTCCACCAACTGAGCCAGCTGGGTGCCCCTCAAGATGTATTTTAAAGGTGGAGCCAAAAGGATTTACTGATCGCTCCTTCGCTCCTTCGTAGGGCACAGGAAAAGAGAAAGGTAAAGGATGATTCTAAGGCTTGGGGTCATACAGCTGAAAGGCGGGAGCAGCCGGCCCCTGAGGTGGAGACAGCTGATGAATGGACAGACACATCCTGGAGGCAAAAGCAAGAATTCAGGTTCAAGGGGGGGGGGGCGCCTGGGTGGCTTAGTCGGTTAGGCATCCGACTTTCACTTAGGTTATGATCTCACGGTTCATGGGTTCGGGCCCCGCGTTGGGCTCTGTGCTGACTGCCAGCTCAGAGCCTGGAGCCTATTTCAGTCTGTGACTCCCTCTGTCTCTGACCCTCCCCTGCTCACGCTGCCTCTCTGTCTGTCTCCTAGAAATAAATAAAACATTAATAAAATAAAATAAAATAAAATACTCTGAATGTGACCTATTTATGCCTTTCAGCCCCTGGTGCAGCTGAGCCTCGGCGTTGAGCGGTTGCTAATCCTCCCCTCCCCTCCACTCCGGGCCTCCCATCTGGCGCACCTTCCCCAGGTGTCAGCTGTGCTGGAAACTGCTCATCCCAGGCTCAGACATGTTGTGTGACCTCAAACCACCTCTGGGAGGTGGTGGGGACAGGGGCCGAAACTCCTAGCATCTTCCCTCCCTCATCCACATCCGGGCCCCAGAAGGCTCCTGCTGGTGGCTAGGGCAGAATTGGGCGCAGCTGTTTGCTTTACAACGAGGACAATTGCGCCCACCCCCTCAGTGCTCCAGGGCACAGCTCCACACCTGTTCCCCACCCTCCTGCCCAGGTGCAGAGAACAAAAGAACACCCACTCACCAAGGTTACTACCTTGAAGAGGGCGGGGAGAAAGACTGCCTTAGGGAGAGCCCTATTTGGGAAAGGGAGAAAAACTCCGGGGAATTAGAAGGTTTGCATCTGCACGGTTTAATACATACAGCTTTCTTTGGTAATGAGAATGTTCTATATCTATACTGCCAGGTACGACAGCCACCAGAACTTGTGGCTATAAAGGACTTAAAATGTGGCTGGTGTGACTGAGGAGCTCAAGTTCCAATTAAATTTAAATTTAAATAGCCACCTGTGCCTAGAGGTTGCCTTATTGAACAGCACAGGTTTAACAGTTGGCTCTGTTACACATGTACATGATGATACATAGCAAGTAACATCTGTTGAGCACACACTTTGTGCCAGGTACACTGCATGCATTCTTCTATTTACTCCCCACTACTCTGTTAGGAGTGTAGGAAAGGTGTTATTGTCCCCATTTTACAGATGAGGAAACTGAGGGTCAGAATGCCAACATCATTTGGCCAATGCTCCAGAATAAGGAAGTGCTGAAGGCTGAAAGGGAACACCCAAAATCACATTTTCAAACCCCACTCAGCTAAAATACACCCCAAGACCCCTGCGGGCTTTGCAACTTCTAGCTCTCTACAAATGAATGGAGTGTGCAAATTGCTAAAGGAATGCAAATCAGCCTACATTTGGGGGACAAAGCTCAGATTCTCTGGTCACACCCAGCATCTTTCTAGGCTGCGGGTGGGTGGGTGGGGGTGGACAGAGACTGAGTGACAAGGAGGGACCTGGGAGGAGGAGGAGTTGGGGTGGGGGGTGGGGCCAGCCAGCTGGTGTCGGAGACCGGGGACATCAGCTGGCTGGCGGGCTGGCCGGCAGGCGGGCTAGCTCAGACAATGGGCGGGGGACCTGGTCAGAACCCTCCTCCCCCCCACACCCGGCCCTCTCCCATACCCTTCCCAGCTGCCGAGGGCACCTTCTCCGATCCTAGGCAAGGCCTGCGGGGAGCAGGATAGCCTGGGCGGTCGGTGGAGGATGCTGGGGAGGTCTATCCTGAGTGACCTAGAAGTGGCGTGAGAGGCAGTAGTGGAAAACAGGAAATTAGCAGCTTCTGTGGAGGTCTCCTTGGTGCCAGATTTTCTGGGGGGCGGGGGGAGGGAGATTTGCAAAAGTCCTTCCATTCACTTCTCCCACAGTCCCCGTGGTAATACTAATAATAATGATAATGATTATTAGTAAAAGTGGTAACCTAGCGGCTCAACCCGCCTGTTTGGAATGGAAGCGATATCGTTATCTCCGTTCCTCAGGACCACCTGGGGAACCAAGGATTTTTATTCTCTACCTTTTCGGAAGGAGGAGCCTGAGGCTCAGAATGGTTGATATTCGTGCAGCATGGAAGAC